GGCTGAAGTGAGGGTTTGGCTTGCCAATAATTTCCTTAAGCTAAATGATTCTAAGTCTGAGGCACTCCTGATGTCCCCTAACAAAACAACACAAGTATCTTCTGGTTTGGCCACTCTCCCTTTTGACCTCAAGCAGTGTGTTACCAACCTTGGGGTGAAATTTGATACACAGTTTTCCATGGGCCCTCAGATTAACGCAGTGGTCAGATCGTGTTTTTATCAGCTGCGCAGACTAGTCCGCTTAAAACCGATCCTGAAACGAGCACACCTGGAATCCGTAATCCATGCTTTTATCATCTCTCGACTGGATTATGCAAATTCCATTTTAATTGGTTTACTTGCCTCCGCTCTTAACAGGCTTCAAGTCGTACAGAACGCGGCAGCCAGGTTTTTAACAAACACTCCTAGGAGAGAACATATCACACCTGTACTGGCGCGGCTCCACTGGCTACCCGTAAACTTTAGGGTCAAGTTTAAAATCCTGACTTTTGTTTTTAAGGCCCTGAACGGTCTGGCACCGGATTACCTGTCGGATCGTGTCACTAGGTATGTGCCAAACCGGGCGTTGAGGTCTGCTGATTGCCTGCTGCTTCGTGTTCCATTAATGAAATACAAAACGCGGGGGCAGCGTGCTTTTGTCTATGCTGCTCCGACACTATGAATGCACTTCCTCTTTCGGTGAGGCTGGCACCATCCCTCCTCCGGTTCAAATCGCTGCTGAAGGCTCACTTTTACGACCAGGCATTTTTAAATCCCTGACTTTTATTATTTTACTATGTGTCTTTTTATTGACTGTAATTATCTGCCTTGTTGTGCATTTTATTGTTGACTGTGTATTGTTTTATATTGTGTTTTTACTTTTTATTTTGTACAGCACTTTGGTCAGCTGCCATGCCGTTTTTAAATGTGCTTTATAAATGAAGATGGTATGGTATGGTATCTAAAGTTGTGCCATTTAAAATCTTAGAATGAAATGTAGCTCGGAAAAGGAGAAAGAAGCCACTGAATCTTGCAGGTAGATGTCTTTCACATCATTTAAAACCATACCGCCAACCCAGAAGTCCTAGACGTAACACTTCCATGCCAGTGTGTCAGAATAATGACAGCTGATATTATAGAACTAATCCCTCCTTGCTAAAAAGCTATTTATTCTCATCTATCAGGTGTTTTTGTCTCCTTCCAAAAGGAGAAATTCTCTGATTGTCAACGACTTCCGCTTGTATTTGCTGCCACCAGTTATTCATGAGGTCGCTAAACGTGATTTGCAGAGGCTTTTCAGGTTCTGTTGATGGACTGATGTCACTCAAGGCTGTAATCAAGGCCTCTGAATGCAGAATAATGATCTTTTTTCATCTGCATATTCACATTTGTATTGATTTTTGGTTTTTATTCCATCACTCGGGCTCAAAACCACCTACAAAGCCTAAGGGGGAGTATTCAATTTGTGGAATTACCCACTAGTGAGCCATATGATTTTATTCCCCCCCATTTCAGCTTTTAAAAACATTTCTATTCATTAAAGAAAATGCATCACTACACTGCTTTCAGAGGACTCATCTGCTATGTTCAATTAACATCTGTTGAGTTTCTCTTTGCACAACAATTCCTACGTGACTACATGTTTTATGTTTTTTGGAAAACAGCACTGCAGGACAGTCACTTCAGTCCATGCTTGCATTCAGCGGTCCGTTTGCAGAATCAGTCCAACGGTGCTCAGTCTCAAGCTGAGTTTAAACATCTTCGGTGAAATGCACTTCTAAAAAATGTTTTTCGGGTACAGCTCCTCCTGCGAGGCTATAGTGAAGCCCTCTGCTGGGCTGAATGTGCGTGCTGCTTTCTATGAAAGGAGAGAAACACAGGAAGTGGGATTGTGTGCTTGACTGATTGCACCTCAGCTTACCTGTTCATCCACGTCAACTTTGCCTCCTGAACCTTCAACATGTGCAATATTTCTTCTGTCCACCAACACAAACTAGATTTATATTCTGTTACCAAGCAGCAAGACTTTACTAATAGTTTTTAAAGTGACATTTTGCAATAGTTCTCTGGGATTTCTAAAGGTTTTCAAAATATTTAGGCAGAATTTGGCTGAGTTTTCCATTTTAAAATTATTCCACAGGAAATGGTCAACGAATGGGAATTAATGCAAAAGTAGCCAATGTCTAAAACAAACTCATAACTAACTTTGATAATAATGAAATATTTGATGAAACTGAGTTTTCTCTCAAATTGGTTATTTCTGAAATCCTTTGCAATTTCAGTCAGTATCTCCCCAGGCTGTGACTGTTGTTGACTAAAAATGTCAAACTGCTATTTTATTTAGGGCTGGGTCTTATCGGGCAAATGAGCTATTCGAAAACAAACCATGTAATGCAATTTAAAGCTGCTATGAGGAATCTGCAGAACAAATAGGTTTTGAGCGCAAACACGGTTCTGGAACACTCACCCCTCCCCTCAGGTATCTTCCCTGAACTAGATATGTGTTGCTAGAGGAAACGAGAGAGCGCTAAACACCAGTTGCCATTTTCTAGGTCCAAATATATTTTGTTATCTGCCACTTCAAATGATGTTTTCTTTTTTTATAATTAAAGTTTTTATTATTTTCAGATTTTTTATAACATACAAGAACATACAAAAACAAAAGAAAACACACAGGCTTGTGCCCCCCCCCCACCCCCCACCCCTCCAGGGTACCAACGATTCTAAGAGTCTTGGGTTCAGCTATCACAGCTACATAGACCAGTAGCCATACTTAATTCAGGGTCAGTTAGGAATCCAAAATCCAGGCAGTGAGGCATTAGATTTCAAAGTTTTTTGTAACATTTTTCAATGTTCCCCAAAAGCTGTTCCAGTCTGTGTCCTTGTCCCCTTCAGGTTGCTGAGCATGGCCTCATAAGCAGCTGTTTCCGCCATCGCCGCAATCCATTCATCAATCCCAGGGCGCACTTTAGTCTTCCAATGTCTTAATATAATCCTGGATGCTGTAACTAGTCTGACCGTAATGACGCAGAAGGTTCCTCTTGAAACATTTGGTATTTGGGATCTGTCTCCCAGCAAGCATAGGGGTCTGAGGGACTTCTATGCCAGACCAAGCACCCAGGATTTCCTGATGATGTTTTCTTTTTGGGACTCTGGTAGTTTGTCCTGATGTTGAAGTGGTAGCAGCCAGCTGTTTCTCCTTCTCTAATGTCATTGAGCGGAGAACCTCTCACACCAGTGGTGTGTTGTTGCCAAATACATGAGTGCATAATGAATGGAGGACCCAGGGAAGTGTGAAAATGAGGCAGTTTGGCGAGACTTGACAACCTGATGGTCCAATAGTTGCCAATAACACATTTCAGACATAAAGCAGAGGTTTTTAGACAAATGCGAGAACCACTTTATTCTCTTTTTTTTATCTCAATATATGTATAGCTATGTTATGTTAGAATATTGTTAAGAAGCAAAATATTTGAAGCTAATTTGTTTTCCAAGTTTGCTGTTGCAGCTTTAGTACAGTTATAGTGGTTTGGACACTGCTGTAAAAGAGAGCATTAGAAATTTTAAAATTTTTGAGAGAAGCTTCAACCAGACAAAATTTGTGACTAAATTGCAATCAGATATTTAGAGCAACAGCTGGACAATTTTGCATATAATATATAAAATTTGCTTGAAAACCATTCCAGAAGATGAAATGCATGATCCACGCACCAACACTCAAACATCTCAGTTCCTTATACTTCTGCTCCTTGTGCTGTCTGTTTCTCTGTGAAGGCAGGATAAAAAACCTGTAGGATTCATCTCCCTTCCTCACACACACACTGCTTATGCACACTTTTCACATTTCTCACGAAGCCCATGGAAGATTGATGGCAGCATCAATCACACAGGAGAACCAGAAAAAATACTAAATGATGGCGAGAGGCTTCAGAATGAGAGAAAAACTAAAGGAAATTAACAAGATGGAAGATGGAAGTTTAAGAGTGGAGGTGTGAAACACAGCAAGGTGGGAGAGGGAGGAAAAAAGCATCAAAGATTAAAGAGATCAGACAGCGAGTGATTTGGAAATAAGAGGAATGAAGCACATGCTGTAGATAGAAAAGAAACGCTCAAAATGAGACCATAAATGTCAGAAAGACAGATGGCATTTGAAAAAAAAATCACAGAGACTCTGAAAAGATGGTATGCTGGGACTGTTAGCTACTGCATATGTTGCCTGGAAACTTCCTTGTGAATTTTGTTTTGTATTAGCTCATTAAACGAGTGCCCATATGAATTTTCAAAAACAAATTGTCTTCACAAGATTAAATGTGGACTGGTGTAATTTGTTGTGGATTTGAAACAATATTTAATGCAGGTCTTTTTCACCAGATTATCAATACATTTGGATTTTCTGCATCAAATTCTAATAAAATTATTAATTAGTGGGGCATAAATCAACTGCTGGACAATTTCTTCTTTCTGGTATTTACACCCCTGATGTGATATTCTTTGTTGTTACAGCCATTTCTATTAGTGGAGATCTTTGTCGTCCACATTAAATCATAAAATTCAGAAATCGTGTAAAAGCGTTCCCATTGTGGACTGTCACTCTTGACTGAAAATGTAAAAAATACACACATTTGCTGCAATTAAGTTATTGAAATGTCATTTTTGTTTTCAAAGAAATAATTCGACCCTCGACCCCAATGGTCATGGTTTATTTCCCACTGATTTTCTCTGTTGAGTGAGTAATTAGCCCTGACACAGTGCTATATCCACCATGCACCACAGTTTGATTCTGCTGCATGGTTTCAGCTGCTGTAAATGTGACAAGAATTAGTTCCCCTTTTGTACATCAGTGTGTGAAGCAGCAGCACTGCCATCACATTAATTAAAGGAAGATTAGTCAGTATTAAAGCTATTAACTTGTGTTTTGATTAATAATTACATATGTGAAGTGTTTAAACTGTGCTTAATGCCGTCTCTGAGGGTAAAAGTGTTTCTCAATCTTTTCTGTTTTTATTTATTTGTTTTCGTAGATTTATCCTGGTGTTTGGATGTTTGGTTCTCTCCGTCTTCTCCACCATGCCTAATTATCAGGATTTCTCCTCGTACTGCCTGCTCATCCTGGTAGGATGCATACACAAACATGCAAATGTCCAAACACCCATTACAAGCAATGTGTTCTTAATGTGGTACCTAAAGAGTGCACACACATCTTTTGTTTATGTGAGAGATTTTTTTTTTATTTACAGCTCACTTAAATGTTTCAGATGTGCAAACAAATAAGGCAGATAATCAGAGTAAATACAAAGCTTTTCTGATTATTTAGTCTATTGAAGATAAAATTATATATATATATATATATATATATATATATATATATATATATATATAACACACTTCATCAGAACGTGATCGTCAGCTGTCTCTGAAGTGGTTTGCAGCTGAGTGTGAAGCAGCTGGGATGAGAATTGGCTTCTTTCAATTCTAGACTATGGTCTTGATTCAGAAAAGGGTAGAATGCCTTCTTCAGGTCAGGAATGAGGTCCTGCCCCAAGTGGAGGAGTTTTAAGTATCTCGGGGTCTTGTTCACTAGTGAGGGAAAACTGGAGCGTGAGATCGATAGGCAGAAGTACCGGAAGTACTGACTGAGCATTCCCAGACCTATAATAAGCCTTGATGAAAGCCCCTCTTTGCTACTTAAAATCTATATCGCCAAGTTTAAGATCAATATAAGTTGGGCCTAGATGTGATTAAAGTAAACCATGATGGAATTAGGAAGCCAGATACAATAGAAGCAGCACTGAAATGCACAAAAGCAGGGTTTTCAAAATTTTGCACTGATTTTTCGTTTATCACCTGATTTCAAATTAGGAAAATATGTATGAGAACAGAGAGAACAACATCTTTCTCATGGCTCTGTGCATAATGAAAAGTCCTGATGTAAACTTGACAAAAGTTGTTTTCTTCTGAACTTTGAATCATGCTATTACGTCCAGAAACAACAGACTTCTTTGGTTCCTTGAAGATGTTCTACTTCTAATCTCAGGACCTTTCTTGGTCAGGACCTTCGCGGTGGCCTAGTGGTATGAGTGTCTGCTCTGGGACTGGGAGATCAGGGTTCAAATCCTGGTAGAGCCATACCTAAGACCCTAAATGGGACCCAATGCCTCCCTGCTTGACACTCAGCATTAAGGGGTTGGATTCAGGGTCTACACCACCAAGTAGCTCACAAACGCAGCCACAGCTGCAACTCACCACCCCCCACGGGGACGTGTCAAATGCGAAGATGTAATTTCACCAGTGTGTAATGATGATCACTTTAGTTATAACTTCAAACCAAATTTTTACAGTGATGTGTTTTTAAACTGTAGCGAGAACTTCAATAGGTGTAAAGTTAGTTTATCTTCTGGGTTGCTTGGGTCTTTGATGACTCAAGCAAGATGTTTTGATCACATGTCTGATAATGCTGTTTGCTGTGAACCTGTCTGGGGAACAGATCCAGAGCTGCTTTGTAATCTTTGGAGAGTTGAAACCTCAGACCTCTTTGTCTCTTTAATGTTGTTGTCTCTCTTTTGTTGAAGATGGCTTCTTCCTTCCTTCTTTTAAAATGTTGATTTGTTTTTATCCAAAATATGACCTTTTTGATTGCATCCTAATCCTAATCTGATCCTCAGCCAGTTTCACAGCAACCCACACATTCAGAAATGCAGCCTAAACGCATTACAAGGGCAAGAGAACCGCATATAGCCTATCGGAGGTGGAATCTGGCGTTTGGTTTTGCAAAGTGGCTCATATAAAAAAACACAGACAGACAGTTTGAAAGTATGCTACTACTGGATTGAGAAAGCTATAACCTCTTTTAAGAAGTGATTCAGTTACCATGTTTTGAAAAACTTCTAGCATACCCTGAGTGGATGAGAACATCACCTGCAGTGTGTGCGTGTGTGTGTGTGCGTGTGTGCGTGTGTGTCCGTCCTGCAGGAGTTTGTGATGATTGTAGTGTTTGGCCTTGAGTACATCATCAGGATATGGAGTGCTGGCTGCTGCTGCCGATACCGAGGCTGGCAAGGACGCCTCCGCTTTGCCAGGAAGCCTTTCTGTGTCATAGGTAAATATGTTATTAAGTGACCTTGACTATCAGGGCTTAGTGACCTTTATGTGTTGTTCTGTAGGGAAATATTCTACTAAAACAAAGGTTTGTGACAAGTGAAACTCTTACAGTTACCTATACCTCTTTTGGCTTATGCCATCATTTTACCTGTGTAATGCATTCTGGGACACAAACATCAACATAAAATTTGTTTGTGACTAGATTTTCAGTTACACGTGAACAGTCGATATGCACAAACAGTGCTGCACAATGCTGGTTGCATTTTCAAGAAAAGAGGCAACGAAAACAAAGGTGTACATCTTCATTATTATTATTATTTTATTTTATTTTTTTGTAAAAATGAGGAGAGCTAAATGAAAGCATGCTTTTGAAAAAAAACACAAGGACCCATTTTTATGTTTTCATCACTTCCTTTCTAATGCCTTTAAATCCTATTGTTGACCACAGCTGCTGAAGGGTTCAACAGGCTTGGTTATGAACAAAGGCTGAAAACAAATATCGTATGTTTCCCTAACAAGGTTACTAAATGTCCCCTGTAAAGCACTCAATCCCCCACTTTCAGCCTGTTGCACTTTGGTCAGAGAGGTGCTTTCCTGTTGAATCTCCTCAGTGAGCAAACCTCTGTTCCCTGGTTCGTTTGTTCCCAAGGGAGGGCTAATGTGACACACTTAAACACTGCCGCAGATAGGCTGGTGACTGTTTTCAGTCATCCAGGTCATGGTAATCCAAATGGGTTCAAATGAAGGCAACTGGACTTCTTTGGTTTCTTGAAGCAAAACGTCTTCAAGAAACCAAAGAAGTCCAGTTGCCTTCATCTGAACCCTTTTGGACTGTTGCAGATACACTCCAATAATGACAATGTTTCAGTAGCTTCAGTCAAGTTGCTTAATATCAATAAGCAGAGAAATGATACAGAGACAGACCTAGACCCAGCAAAAAATGTGGAGACTAATTACTGTCTAGGCTCTTCCCACACCGTGGAGAGGACTCAGCATCCCTATATGAGAGACTGACTGGAGATCAGATCTCATTCAGACTGGTTAACAGCTCATGTTTTAATCAAGTGTTTGCAACTTATCTGTGTGGTAAAGTGAACAAACAATGCTGACATCAACAAGTGAGCAGATTCTTCTAAAAGTATGAAATAAAGCTGATGGCCAGTTGATTGTGACACGGGTCAGCCCTCTAATGGTGCTAATTATTTAACAAGCTCCTGAGTGTGAACCATCGGAGATGATTAAGCACAGCGGAATTTGAAAACTTGCTGCTTTTTGTCTTCCAAAGATGACTGCCCACTCATTAAAATGAAAATTATCACAACGGAAAACATATTTTGAGTAAAACAATGCTGTAGGGTGTTGGCACATAGCATGGATTATATTATCACTTTTACTTTCAAACATTTTGACAAAGAAAATACAAATGTGTGTAAAGCTTAAAATTTTTTCCAAACCTGCTGCCCAAATTCATGTGTACAGTTTTTTTTAATTAGTTTGGAAATCTTCCCTCTCTCCCCTTGTTAGCATTTGAAAACAAATGCTGAGCTAAGACCACATTAGCGTCCTCACTTTCAAGTGCATTGAGAGTTGTATCATTGTTCTCTCTGTCGGTGTGTTCACGTAAAACTGAAAAGGCCGAATGGAAAACATTGTGCAGGTAATGTGGTGCTTGATTAAATGCAAAGACCGTGGCAGCCATGTGATGTCATTACCCAGGATGCATTGCAACATAAACTGCAAAAATAATGTACAAGTGAAGTTAAGTTTTCCAGGTTTATATAAACTAAAAGGTCTGGAATGTTTATTTTTTGTTCATCTATGTCTGAAGTTTAATGTTTCTCATTTACAAATTGAACCTTTTTTCCAGTTATTGTCTCTTTAGTTACATTACACTTTGCTGGAATCAAGATTGTTTTTTCAAAATGCCTTTAGCATCAGAGAGGAGCTCCAGCTGTTGATTAAAAGTGAAGATTTTAAGGTTGCAGACAAAACAGCAAAAGATGACTAATAGGGACAGAAAAAAATCTAGTAAATCAATAGCTGTTTTAGCAATGAACGGATGACTGCCTGGTTGGTTGTAGAAAGTAGGTGAGTCAACTACAGTTTGGTTACTTATATTGTGCTACTCATGACCTTTAATTTTCACTGCTTTACTCTCCAGACATCATCGTCCTTATCGCTTCAGTTGCTGTGGTTTCAGCTGGTAGCCAGGGTAACGTGTTTGCCACCTCTGCGCTGCGTAGCCTTCGTTTCCTTCAGATCCTGCGCATGGTGCGTATGGACCGCAGGGGAGGAACCTGGAAGCTGCTCGGATCTGTAGTTTATGCTCATAGTAAGGTAGGACATTTGAGCTGGGGCTCTGCTTACATGGTTTTTTTTTTTTTTTTGCACTAGAGATATTTCAGGTAACCAGTCTGTTCTGTGGTATTTCTTCATAATAATGTTTGTAAGTTTTTTTAAGATTCTGATTTTTCTGTGTTCAGTCAGGAAGTCACACCTACTCATTTATTCTATTCAGTGTTAAAATGACCAAACTACATAAAAACATCAACTGAAGGGATTTTATTTATTTTATTAAATTAAAAGTTGTTACATGAATTGGATGATTTATACTCTCTGGTAGAGAATGTAAAAAAACTATTATCTCTCCTAAAAAAATATTTTACAAATATTGTTTTGAACATTTCATAGCAATAAACACATGGAGAAGTATACTATGGTTAAGTTAATGTGATTTGGGTTAGTTATCTTTTTTAATGGAAAAAATCCTTGAAAAGACCGATTTAAACTAAGATTGTCTTATGTTGATGAATTAGTGTTTCACTCCTCTTTCCATGTGCAATCCTTGATTGCAGTGAGTGGCTGAACCTGTGGGTGCAGGACAAAATCCTGCTTGGTGAAGCTTCAGGGAGATCACCTCAGGCACTGCAGCCCTTTTGCCATTTTGATGGGGCAGTTTGAATGGTTGTTTTTAATAAATATACCTTAAACTCCAAAATTTGGTCAATCTCATTTTTATGTTGTGGTCCCTCAAGCTGGGTCGTAACATAAATGGGGGCTTGTCCGGGATCTTTATCCTTGATAACCCTGTGTTTGGAGAGAATACTTGTGCATTTTAGTCTGTGTCAGGTCAACCATGTTTGTCTTAAATGAGTCATAACAACTATTAATAGCCATTTTGGTCTAATCTTAAGCCAGCTGTCACAAGATTTTGCACAGCCTATTAGCACTTGGAGTTTCTTTATTGAATCATTCTTAGCAGTATCCAATAATAGCTACATGTTTGTAAAATACTTTTACCCTTTTTGTGTTTACTAGGCTCAATATGCTGTGGCAGACTTTTAGACTTTTTACCATTTACAGGCCATTTAGACTTGATGTATTCCTTGTAGATTAGCATATATTGAAGGATTTCTTAGGGTTTAATGAAAAATTTTCTTTTTAAAAACGTTTTTATCCTATAGTATGCAGCAAAGTATATTTTACAGTATTGTGGTTTTTGCTTGCAGGAGCTGGTGACTGCTTGGTATATTGGGTTTCTGGTTCTTATATTCTCCTCTTTCTTGGTCTATCTGGTGGAGAAAGAATTCAACAAGGAGTTTGATACGTATGCTGATGCTCTGTGGTGGGGCACGGTAAGGACACACATCACAGAGGCGTGCGCACACACACACACACACACACACACACACACACACACACACAATTTGAGTTGGTTTTCAAATTAATAGAAGTTTACATCTTTATTTCATCCACAATTTTTTCTGCATAGACTCTTGATATTTTTCAACTTCACTTGCAATAAGTAGTCTTTCAGGGAACTACTGAAATCATTTAGTCAGTATTGTGGTTTGAACAGTGTTTTAAAAGAATTTAACAGACTCCCGCATAGTTGTGAATCATAAAATATGTTCCCTCCTGCAGAGGCGAGTGAGGAAGGTTTAAGCCTAGTTTATGCTTCTGTGTCAGCTCCACGAGGGAGAGACGCACAAGCACTGAACGAGGCGTTTTTCTCCTGGACTTCTCTGTCTCCTGGGGAGTGTTGCAAAGCATTTCCCCTCCAAGACAGCAGAGGGTGTAGCGCTGATCTGGGGTATCCTGTCATGTATTTGACCCAAGATAGTGCATTTACCATTGTGTTTATATTGTGCTTTTTGTATTTCAGAGGCTTTTTTAACACAGACAAATTTGTCCCTCATTCTCCTCCACCTCTTCATGAGCTCGCCAACTTTAATCCTATATTTCTCGTCATGTCCTTCTACGAATAAAACACTTGCTGCATATCCTTTTACTCCTCAAGTTACGGGTGAATAAAACATTTATTTTTTTTTAGCTTTTCCGTGAGGTATTCTTCAAGCTGCTCCATGTCCGCCGCTAGATATGAGATAATATCTTTATGTTTTTGAGAGTGCAATGGCGGTGCTGTTGATAAAAGTCGTGTCCTGACCAATTAGAAGCTTGCTTTCGCCTTCTCATTGGATGGATGTTTAGAAAAGTGGGCTTGACTCCGTCCGTACTTGCGAGCCTGCTGTAGAGCCCTCACAAGGACAGATAATGGTGTTGTGTGTCTCAACACAGATGCAGAAGCTTAAACTAGGCTTTAGGATGATTCATGACTGACAGGGCACAATTTTTGATTTGAATAAATATTTTTTAATTTTTTTAATCACATTTAATAAATGTTCATGGAGCCTAACATCTCTGGTGGTTCCCGTGCCCTCAGATCTGAAGCTTCCCCTTTAAATCCCAGGGGAAAAAAACAATCTTGCATTAAGATGGAAGGTGTGCCACATTTATGTGACAACAGTGATAAATTCCCATTTTCACCTTTGGCGTGATCTTAATGAACCTGCAACTGATAAAACCAACAAGAATATTTTAAGAAGGTACACTTGGCTGGCTGCACTGCACTGATTCCTTCCATATCCTCTCTTGAAAACATGGAAACAGACACAGACGAGATGGGGTCCAATCAATAAATCCAATTTTCTTCTGGTGCCAGGTGAAAATGGCCCTGTAAAGCTAGTGGGACTCGGACACAGTGTGTTCCCATGCTCCAAGACCTTGTAGTGTCCTTCTGCCTCTTAGAGACTAAAATATATTATATAAGATGTAAAAAGCTGATACTTAGCCACACAAAACTTTAAAGATGTATGAGTATATGCCAGAGCTATCAAAAAGAAAACTCTGGACTATTACTATCTGACCCTGTTCTATGATATAAATTAGGAAAATGTTTCAGAAATTGACATTTCCTCTAAGTCCCTCCCCTGGCCTTACCTGAAAAATTTATCAATTGCAAAAGCCTAGATCGTTGACCAATAGTGAGCCTAAGTCACGCCTGTCTACTTCCAGACCATGGGTCCCCAACTGCCAAAACAATTTTAAAAATTGGAGTCTTATGAGAGGATAAAGGTTATTTGCTGATACTTTTTGATATTCATGGATGTCACCTATGATGTTCGTGAATTTTAAAGACACATTTTGATGCCAAGAAAGCACTTATTTTCAAACAGTGGCAAAAGTTGAAAGTGAAAAGACGTAGAAGACTACAAATCTTCATCTCACCAAATATATTTAATCGAACCAGACGCGGAGAAGATTAGTTAAGCAAGCTTCAAATCCTTCTTCCAGGACATATGGAGAAAACTACTATAAATCTGGCCATGTTGCAAGTAGAGGCTATGCTGGAGGAGATGAGTTTCTGCTCGCCATTATGTAAAGGGTTAATTTACATCTATTTAAGGAACAATAAGACATCATATAAGCGACTTGTGATTTTTAGTCATTTTATGAACAAATTTGAACAAGCTATACATTTCAATGTTGGTGACATAGTCAAACCTTACATAATTACTTTCCTTTCAGATTCAGGGTGTAAGGCAAAGCGAATTAGAAAATGGCTTTTATTGCCCTGTTCACTTACAGTCACTTTTTATTTGTTCTGCGGACCCAAGAGCTGACCGAAAGGGGAGACGACTTGGGCTCCCTATAGACTGGTGTACCTATGAGAGGGAACTGTCAGTTCCCAGCATGCATTGTGAGGTGTCACACTGACACACATCAACCTAGCTCGAATGCTAACTCGAACTGCATTGGATCATTGTCAGTCTGTAAATGTCAAGTTAACAGTGGAAGAGGAGGGAGAGAAACGAAAACTGGTTCATCTTTTGTGTTTTGGATCTGTGATTAGTGTAGCATTGAACCATGAAGTGGTACTTCACTGAAAACCATTATTTATTTATTTATTTCAATTATTGTTTCTGATTACAGCCAGTCACTCTGGGTTTTGACATGAAAATGGTCTACACGTATCACCTGCATTTGCTTCTGAAGGATTTGAAAAGCCTAACAGATCTACAACACACGTCACTTAACATTCACAGACTCACCCATCTTGATTCACCACGATGGGCATTGTTGGTTTAGCGTCCAGGAAATGGCACAGAATGGCACAGTCGACTAGTGGAAGCTAACCATTGACATTAGCAACCCCACCACACAGCAGAACATCTTCAGACTTGTGATATTTGTAGAGATTAAACATCAGCGTATTAGAGCATACAGAGTGCGTAATAGTCATGTTGCTGTTAATCAAAGGTGAGACCAAAAATCAGGAAATAATCTGTTTTTTGAAACAGGCACTTCAGCAGTTTTATAATCTGCTTAACTTGATGTACAATTCCATTGTGTGCAGATGGCAAAACGTTTGTCCTACCTTGTAAAGAGCTGGACATAAAGCAAACTCTGTAGTATTGAGTAATATCCTGGTTCCCTGACTGAAGATATTTGACCCCATAGATCACTTTAACAACTATCGGCTACGGCGACAAGACCCCACAGACGTGGACAGGAAGGTTATTATCAGCTGGTTTTGCTCTGCTTGGGATCTCCTTCTTTGCCCTTCCAGCTGTGAGTGAAACACATTTATCATTTTAAAAGTATTTATAATGAAGAAAGAGTATCACTTCATTATTTGGTCTTTTTATTTAATTTAGTTGTGTGGATTTGGGTTTTATAGGGCATCCTGGGGTCAGGTTTTGCCCTGAAGGTGCAGGAGCAGCATCGCCAGAAGCATTTTGAAAAAAGGAGGAACCCAGCTGCCAGCCTTATCCAGGTAGACACACACTGAGTGAACACACACACTTCTCATCTGGGCTTTGTAGCAACACCCGCAGGTGTTTAGAGTCTGGATGAACACGGACAAATCTTTTTCCTTTTTTGTGCAAAATCTATGTACTTGTGTTTTGGTGTCTGATTCTGCATTTTAATTAAAAGCACAACAAGTGAGGAAACATGTAGGTGTTTAATTAACATTAGCGTGCGTGCGTGTCTGTCTTTTGCCCTTCTCTGGGCTGTCAGGGTGTGCAACTGACGGTGACTTATGGTGTGTGAGGAGCGCTGCTGTGTCTCGGGTCCAACAGCAACACACACTGCAGGGCTTTAAGAGCTGTTTCCATGGCAGTCAATCCCTCCGTAGACGCTCCTCCAGACTGTCACTCACTATAATAGACAAGACCAGCTGCATTGCTTTTTAATGAACAATAAATATCCTGTGTGTGTGTGTTTCTATGTTTGTCGTACGCGTCTCTCTGGCAGCGTCTGGGTCTGCTGTCAGTTGGTCTGCCTCATTAACTACCCTGGCCTCACTTTTTCAAATGTTCCATCTCATAATGGGATCCAAAATCTAAACAGTGAAGCCATTTTGGTCATAATCTATATCACATAGAAGTAATATGATACTTAACACTGTCAAAACATAGAGTTTTAGATAATATACAGATAGGACAAGTTACTGGAATCTGGAGCATTTTTAATCAGCCTAAATATAAGCCTGGACTCCTAAGGAAACCAGAAATCACTTTATGAGATAATATCTCATGTGCAACAGATATGATCTTGTGTCCAATAGAAAGTATCTCATGTGCACCAGATGGTTTCTGGTGAGTGAGGGAAAACTACAGTACCGTAAAAGGAACACAAGAATAAAAAATGTGCATTCAAAAACCTTTTTTAAACAAATGCTTTTTTTTCAGCATGTCAGTTGGAACCTTGTGCACATAAGATAATTAGTGGTGCAGTCCAGATAGTGTACTGTTTGCACAAAAACACTGCACCAGATGTTTGCACAGAACAGCATCACACATGCACCATATGCTATCTAGTACATCAGATCTTACCTGGTATGCATGAGTGGCTGCAGTGTTGTCAAAGGGGCTTTTAAGCCTAATTTATACTTCTCCATCATGTGGTTATAAATTCTAGGACCTCTCTAAAGGATGCTGAAGGAAAAAAAAAACATTTATTTTACTCACAATAAACTGCTTTATTGCATTAGCCCCCCCCCCCCCCCCCCCCCCCCCCAACCCAAATTTAAAACCATAAAATCAGAAAATTTAGTAAAATTGTGTTTTATTTTGTGTCATCTTTGGCATTTTGGCCCCAGAATAGCTTATTAAGTGAACATCTTATCCTCCATGTGTTCTCACTTGTGTTCTATTGGTTTAAATGGCTCTGTATCAACAGTGTTGTGTGCTAAGCTCATAATATTTCCCTCTACAGGTAAACTCAGACGGACACTTGGAAGCAGCTTTGATGTGTTAAATTTGTGGATTACGTTATCGATGCATCTCACTGCACTCCCCCATCTCACACGTCTCCTTGCTTAAAATAACTGTTGTTTCTGTGTGTTTTTGTCTGCATGCAGAGAAGGAAATTACCACTGGCCTCAAGCCACAGCAGCTGGTCAATTCCTAAAAAGTCCTGCTGAAATACCTAATACTGCTTACAACTGTGTGTCTGTGGCAGCAGTGGACCTCTAAGTGAATCTGAAGCAATCTTGATTAGCGTCAAAACCGACCACCATAACTGATGACTCTTTGGCAGGTGATCAGTGGTAATTTTCCACAATGTTTAAAGTGTTTGTGCTCTTTTTTTGTAGCCCAAATCTTGTAACCACACCTGGCACCACTGAGATGTGTTCAGCCATAACTATGTAACAGAAAAGTGATTATTAGATTGTAATGAAAGAAAAATGTGAAGCGATTTCTGTCAGTTCCAAGGAATAGACTAACCGGTTTGCAATTTGTTCCAAATGATGATGATTTTTCAACCTAAATGACCTATTTTGCACTTACTCATTCAGGGCTCATGCTTTTATACCCAGTTTTAATTACAACTAATAAACTAAAAGGTTTGATTAATATCTATTTAAATCAGCTTTCTAGTGCCTTCATATTTCATGTTTCACTGCTTTAAACTCCTAATAGTGTTATTAGAATAGCAACAGGCACTCATTGCTTATAGATGGACTACTTGCCAAATTGAATTCATCCATCACTCCTATAATTTAGTGATGATAGGGTGTGCATCATTTTTTTGTGCAGTGCTGCAAACGTGTGAAAATGACATTTGTAGACTGGGAGGAAATGTGTTTGCTGCATCTTCTTTTGGCTGTTTTGAAACAGATGGACTTTGGTCGATCACATGTCTCACATGGGCACTTTGTTGGAAATTCCACAAATTGAAATACTTTCATCTCAGGTCTGTTTCATTTTGGGCAAATTAGAATAGAGGTAGTCACTTCCAAATGAACTTTGAAGGTCCAGAAGTCCTTGGAGGTGCCTTTCACACCAGAGTTATAAACTACAATTATCATTAGAAAAATTATAGTATTGGTCAAATTGTGTTAATGCCATTATGCGCTATCGTAGACAGTATCTCAAGATTTTGAGTAATCTGTTAGCGGCTGTACTACATGTTGTGAATGCCTGCCACTGGCAGCCCATAACACTAAGAGTCCTAGAGGTAGAGAAACATGTAGAGCACACGCCGGTTACTAGCCCATGCGTTTATTCTCCATGTCAACATGTTTGATGTTGATGCAGCTTACAAACATGCAGTGAAAGCAATTTGAATAGCAAACATTTTTGTTAGTCTTCTGCAAAAAGTCAACGAAGTGACAAAATCAAAATGATGATAAATAAAAATGATCAGTTCTCTTTCAAAGCATCTTATTCAGAAACACGAATGAATATTTAGGACATCTGATTTGGTGCCAGCTGGTTGCATTTCCTGCTTATGTCAAACTATCACACAAGTTTCAATCCCCTTTCTTCACCATGTTTGTGCACATGCCCTCCTGTGTGGTGTTTTGTGTGTGTTTGTATCAACTCTGCTCCCTCCCCCACCTAGGCAGCTTGGCGTCTGTACTCCACCGACGGAGCCCGTCCGTACCTCAGAGCCACATGGCATCACTACCAAAGTGCACTCCCTCCCTTCAGGCATGTATCCCCTCCACCAGCACCACCATCACCACCTCACCTCCCTCCCAACAGCCCTGAGCAACACTGCATCCACACTACCCAAATAGACTAATCAAGTTTTTTTTCCTCTTCTTTTGTTCCTCCTCACCCTCTTTCTCTCACACCCTACCCAACTCACACAATCTTGCCCCCCCCCCCCCCTTTTTTTTTCTTCCCACATTCCATTGATTGCACCTTTATCATTATTTACCCTGTCGACTTTGCACGTAGTGTGTCTGGCGTAGTTATGCTGCTGATGAGAACTCGGTTTCCATTGCTACCTGGAAGCCTCATTTGAAGGCGTTGCATACCTGCAGCCCCGCCAAGTAGGTAACAACTTACAGACTTGCAAACATGGCCACTTCTGCTGCTCAGCCTTTTCCATCTTCTTTCCTCAGCTGATGTCTGTTTGTCTTTACTGACATTTCCGTTCCTCACCAAGCATTGTAACCATTTAGTACCTTTCTTTAACATTTTTTCAAGTGTGTTTCGCTTGGCTTGATTAACCTTTACCACTTTTTAATTATTATTTTAGAACAGTTTCCCATGTTCACAAAGAATTTACTTTCCGTAGCATCTGTAGCTGGTGGTTGAATGATTATTTAGAGGTCCTGCACCAAGATAGTTGCTCATGTTTTCTGTTACAGTTAACTGAGAGATGGTGGTCATAATAATATTTTTTAAAAGGTTTAATTGATATTCAGGTTTAATTTTAACTAAATATTTTTTCAGGCTTTATTTTATTTATCTAATCTTGTTTAACACCTCATTCTTCTGTTTTGAACTCTAAACAAATTTTCCATAAATAAAGGTTTTACGTTACTACCTTTAACAATAAATCTGTATAAAATGTATAATCACTACCTTACTCATCGTAGATTGCTTCTTGAACAGCATCAGTTGAGAGAAAAAGCTTTTACATCCAAAGCTAATGAGCTAATGGCTAGCTTACCCTTACCCCGGCTTTCCACAGGAGCCGTCAGCAGCACGTTACTGCAGCAGCACGTCATAGCTGCTGATAGGAACCGCTGTGGTCAACAAAACCTTTTCCACCGGAGCCGTCAGCAGCCGTCAGCAGCGCGAGTCAGCCGTGTCTCAGGAGCAGCATGTCGCGGCCTTTACGCGCCGGTTCTATTTTCTACGCGCGACGCCTCTGAAACGGGTCAAGTTCGACATTTTTGGGGAAGGAAAGACAGGAAATCAGACGCGGAAATGGAGAGAAGCTCACGAGATTTTCAGAATAAAGAAACATACTGCCTTCCAGTTGATTTACTTTTAAAATCGGTTACTAACTGTGCGGCCCCGTGAGAAGTTATCACCTAGCTAGCGGTCTCCTTTGTTTTTCAGGTCCATTTTGGCGATTATAAAACGGACAGAACATAAAACACAAACCTTTTGGAGCCATGTTGTAGTTTTCTCCTGCTTGTTGTTGTGTTTACTGACGAAGTCACACGTGTGACTTCGTGCTCGGTTGGTGACAGCTGCTCCCCTGCTGCTTCGCGTCTTGTGGGAAGGGCCAGGCAGCAGCTTACGCTAGCAAGACGTGCTGCTGCAGTAACGTGCTGCTGACGGCTCCGGTGGAAAGAAGGGGTTAGATGGCAGCAAGACCAAAGCAGTTTGCTGCCATCTAGTGGTAGTTCTAGGGGAGCTTCAGGGTGGGCCAGCGCCACTCTGAAAACAAGCTTGGACCCCCGTTGGCCTCTCTGCTGAGATCAGAGCCTAAGCAATAATAAATGCGAGATGTGAAACCAAAGCATTTATCTGAAGTTGAAAAAAGATTCGTAGACAAATAGTTTCATGTTATAAAGATGAATAACTCTGATAACATGTCTTTTGCTAAGCAGTTATATTTTGAAAATAATGGCTGTTGTATTTAAAGTAACTGTAACTGAATTATTAGTAATATTAGGAGCCTAGGTCACGCCCACCAGAAATAAGAAAAATAAATTGTATGTCACTGGGTCTATAAAAGCTTTTTTGTAATCCGGTTTGATATATGCCATGGATTTCACATATGATATCTGTGAATTTTAAAGACATATTTTGATGCCAAGAAAGTGCTTATTTTTGAATGGTGGCAAGTTATTTTAGGTTTTGTGTGAAAAAGTCGTATAGGACTACAAATGTTCGTCTCACCAAATTGATGCCATTTAACCACACACAAAGACGAGGAAAAGATTAGCTTTGAGAGCTTCAAATCCTTCTTCCAGGATGACAAAAGGAGCAATAAACATGAGGAAAACTACTATAAATCTGGTCATGTGGTAGGTAACAGCTACGCTGGGGGAGTAGCAATTCTGCGGTGATGTCATTTCACGCACCGTCTGATTTGTAGTTGTTTTATTTACGAATTTTCACAAGCAAACACATTTTAAAGTACAGGACAGACATAGTTGAAACTGACATAATTTATTTTCATTTAAACTGAAGTACAACATATGTGCGATTCAAGTCATAAGGCAAAGTGGATTAGAAAATAGTTTTTATAGCTCCATTCACTTGCATTTATTTTTTTGTTTTTCCGGGATCCATGAGTGGACTGGAAGAGAAGGAGACTTAAGCTCCCTGTATTGTTTTAATTAATTTTGTAAATCTGAAATACCATTCAGGAAGCTATTTTAAGTAATATAGTAACATAACAACAGTTTCTTTTAAATGCTTCTCAAACATTTGTTTTGCTCATCTACACACTTCCATCTTTGATACGATGTAGATCTATCGAGATCTATTTATCAAATCTATTCAGTTTTTCATATTCCACTCAGAACTAATGCTTAGCCTAATTGTGCATGGCCAGAGCTTGCATGTGGTTGCAAAAAATAAAGAGCTGACTGAGAGCTGAATTGCAGTTCTTTTGGCTTGATGCCTTCCATATCAGTCTGTAGAAACGTCTGTAATACTGTTTTATGTAGCTCTAAGACTGATTTTTCTCCATTTGTCTCCTCCTCTTTATCCCACTAACCACTGAAGGAAAGAGCAGGGCGAGACTACTTACAGGTTTGTATGAGCCCACAGCCCCAAATACTCTTACACACACACACACACACACACACACACACACACACACACACACACACACACACACACACACACGCTGAACTGATCATATAAGTGTTCTATGTTTTTATGCCATAAGTTCTCATCTCTTCGAGTTTTTTTCTAATTCATCAAGTTATTTATTAGCTAATTTTTCACTAATATAAAATTATGTGCTTTACTGTTTTTTTTATTTGTTTGTTGAAATGTATGAAGAAGTGTATGACCAGAAGTCATTTAAGGTTTGAATTTGCCACTAAAGCTGTTATAACGAATCTGCAAACAAGCTAGGCTTTGAACGCAAACACGGTCATGGAACACTCACCCTTACGTATCTTCCCTGGACATGTGTCCACTGGAACCAGAAACCCACATTGTCAGATGAAACATAATAATGCTAAACACCAGTTGCCTTTTTCTAGGTCCAAACATCTTTAGTTCAAGACTTTGTGTGTGGTTTTTAACTTTTTTGGACTCTTAAGTAGTTTGTCCTATAGCTGAAGTGGTAGCAGCCGGCTGTTTCTCCTTCTCTGATATAATTTAGCTGCAAACCTCTCACACCAGTGGTGTTCTGTCGCAAAATACACAAGTGCATCATGAATGGAGGACCCAGGGAAGTGCGAAAGTGTGGCGGTTTGTTGAGACTGACAACTGTATAATTCAATGGTTGCTTTTCGAAACGTGTTATTTGTTTTTAGACAAATGCGAAAGAACCAATATAACATTTTTTTCTATTTTTTTTCCCACAATATAATTAAAAATACCGTACCATACCAACTTTATATATAAAGCACATTTAAAAATGGCACAGCAGCTGACCAAAGTGCTGTACAGAATAAAAAGCCATATACTGTGTTGGTTGTTAAGAAGCATGAAAATGTTTTAAACCATTTTTTTTAATTTGCTATGAAGCTTGAAGCCATCATTTAAATTGTTGGTTTATTTATTGTAGACAGGGTGACAGTAGCAGTACCAGATTTGTTCTGAAAAACAATTGTCCAAGATATTATTTTTAGTTACATCTTAGTATGTGCTTCTTTTTTTCCTCATTCTTTTAAATACTTTTGTCTTTTGTTGCTTTAAACACTTCTCTCCTCACCTTGCACTTGACATTTTGCCAGACAAGTGTCCCGTCTTTTGTCTTTACTCTGTATATGTGTCATGCTCACAAGCCTTCAAAGACTGAAAGTCTGTACCATTACAGACATTTTCCATTGAGATGGTATTTATGTAACTCATCAAACACACACTTTAGAGGCAGACTGAAGCTGAAAAGGGGGGATGGGGGGTATTTTAGATGGGATGAGGGCAAAGAAAACAGAAAGCTTTGTGACTTTAATGATTCTAGTATAGTTTTTACAGTGCCGCACCTCTTTGTCAACATTTGGGGACCTTATGTGGAGCCAGCAGCTTCTGGAGCATTTAAACTCAAGGCAGCCACACACATACATGTTTCAAATAATGTGTTTGTGCTCTCTGCATAACACACAAACAAATGTGCTTCTTATTCTTTAACAAAAAAAATTTAATTAGGTTTTGTTGCTTCCTGAATAGCTTGTGTCTCTACTAAAAGCCTTATTTCCACTGTGTTTTTCTTTCTTAGAAACTGCAGTTGCAGCCAAATCCAATTTGCACTTGTTAAATCATAATTACTCAGACATCTATGACACAATTTATTTTCTTTGTGTTGCTCCCCACCAAGGGAACTCGGGTTATTAGTGGTTTTACAGACCGTCGACTCTCGGCGGCGGTAGGTGCCGTAGTAAACGGCTCATGAATTTTAGTTTAAGCAGACTTGTAAACACCAACAGTAGTAAACATTCTGCACACCACTAAGTGCTGCAGCGGATATCACGCTGAGTGTAAGTGAGCTGTATGTTGGCAGCATGAAATGCAAGGGAATGGGGTCTAATCTTTGGTTTGAGTGCAGACAGGTGGGGTTTGTTTGTTTTGTGGTTTAATTCAAACCCTGTGATGTGGAAAAATAATTTGGTTACTTTTAATCTGGATTTGTGGATTTACGCTGAGTAATTAGTGTGTCTGATAGAAGGCTCCAACTTATAAAACATCAAAACATCTAGTTTGGTTGTAAAATCTCAAAGCTGTCATTAATTCACAATGTTTTGATGTTCACCTCAAAATGAAAGAACCTGAGCTCAGGTGGGTTTGCCTTCCACCCTGTTGACCCATTCTTCTGTCAAATGTGACCCCTGCCCTTCTGAGAGTGTTGAGTGTCTATCAGTTCTGACAGCAAAGAATTTAACCATCCTCTGCTCAGCCCTTCTTCAATTCTTTTAACCTTCTTTCTTCTTTTACCCCTCTCTTCTCTATTCCCCTCTTTCTACCCCTCCTTTTCTGTAGTAAGGGTCTAACTAATGGGAGTCTCTTCAGAAAATATTCTAGGAAATATAGGAGGTACTTTTAGTAGCATCCTATCTGCTCTGAACTCAGCCCAGTATCATATGGGAATGACTGATGGCATGGAGGAAAAAAAAATCAAATTTAATCTTAAATGCTCCCATGGTTATTGTGAAGGGATTTGTCTGAGATGGCTAGTTCTGCCTGCTGCCTGTCGAATGCAAATGGAACATCTAAATTAAAGGGGAATTCAACCGAAAGTTGAAAAGCAAAATTCACTTTTAACACTGGATTTTATAAATTGTCTTACTTTTCCAACATGGCGGTTCAACAGAAATAGGCACAATTTCTTTCACCAACATTTTGCAAAAAGTTTTTAAAGACATTGTTTAAATTCCCCTTTTATTGTATGTAAACTCCTTGAAAAAAGTTAGGAAACATTATTTCAGTCAGTCATTTCATTGCTTTAATAATATCAGTTAGTGCTGTATTGCATATTGGTAGAAAGCCTGATTAGTCACCTTTAGCAAAAGATAGAACGGGTGAAGATTTTGCCTCCAGATGATGAGCAACAAAGCCAAAGGTGGAATTATCTCTTCCAAAAATGTGTATAAATCTTCTTCACTGTGTTGATTTTGAATTCTATTTCTTGAGCTTCAGTTGCTTCCAGGTGTGTGTCCGTTTTGGTTCCACTGAGTGGAATAGCCTGGGTCGTAGCAGGTCAATGTGGGCTGGTATGGACCGGTATGGTTCAGCAAATTCAGGGGAACATTTTGATCACCAACCTAAATGCGTACCATCCTGTATGTGGCAGTCGCAGATGATCGTGAGGAATGTTTGTTGTTCGGAAGGCCACAAAACCTTGTTACATGCCGGAATCTTCTCACATCTGTGTACATGGCGCGACAGTGGCAGAGGAGTTAAGTGCCTGCCCTGTAACCGGAGGGTTGCAGGTTCACGTCAAATCTATTGCAGTCATTGTGTCTTTGGGCAAGACACATCCCCCGCGTTGCCTGTTGGTGGTGGTTGGAAGGACCAGGGGGCACCAGTGAATGGCTGCCTTGTTTCTGTCGGTGCACCCCACGGGCAACTGTGGCTACGTTGTAGCTCATCATAACCCGTGTGTGAATGTGTGAATGACTGGTTAGTTGTAGGGTGCCTTTTGGGGTTTTAGAACCCTAAAATATGCCATATAAATACAGGCCATTTACTATAACATTACAAACAACAGCTGTTTATTTAGCTTGTCAAAAGAAGTGACATTTTCCTGGTCTCCAATTGATTGTGTGATGCCGGCCGCTCCGCCCTAGCCTTACCGCTCTGCCCTAGCCATACCATGCTGCCTTAAGCTTGGTATATGCTTGACGCAGATACATTCCACACTGAGTAAACTTTGGGCTCGCAAAGACCACTCGGAGAGGGATGTGATTGATTAAATTACATAATTTGGCCTTGCAGAGCCGTGCAGACCTTGCTGACGTGTCAAGCATAAACCAAGCTTTAGAAGTATCACTTTGTCCTAGCCGTACTGCTCCGCCTTAGACGTACCATTCCACCTTAGACGTACCGCTCCGTCATAGACATACTGCTCCGCCCTAGACATACCGCTCCACCCTAGCCATACCACTCTGGCTCAGAAGTACTGCACTGCACTACCCATTACTGCCCCACCTTAGATGTACTGTTTCAACCTAGTTGTACTGCTCCACTCTACATGTATTGCTCCGCCCTAGTCGTATTGCATCACTTTCCTATGGACCTATGGATGGGGGCCCATGAATGGCACGGTCCGAGTTGGTTGTACAGCCCGCTTATACAATATGGCCCCAACTCACTCCAACCAGTCTCAGTCCCTTCAATGGTACTCAAGCATGACTTCGGCTGGTGTGCATAGCTCCTCAACTTTGTTCAGTTGCTATGTGCTCTTAGCATCCATATGCCACTTTTGTCACTTGTGGATATGGCCCATACAACAAGACATCTGGATGCTGTTGTTGTGACAAGTAGAGGGGCTGTCAGCCTTGGTACCATCTCCTAGTTGAAGAACACATTCTGTGAGATGGGCGTTGTCAAAGGCATAGCGCACAGCGACATCCCAGGAAAATCTGTTCTTCATGCTTCACTGAGAAACCTTTCTTCTAGATTTGCACAGTGATGCCTCAGACAGATCTCTGATCACACTGCACATAGTCTCATAAGCCTGCCTGATACCCTTCAGCATCATGCCTGGTCAACAGCACTGAGTGAAACATAAGAACATGAGGCAACATCACATTCAGTGATAAATCAAGGTTATGTGTGCAGAAGCTAGATGGCATTAATAGTACTAGATTCCACACTCCTGAAGTCCCTGACTGTATTTTGGACAATCAGTAAATTTCTGTGGTGAAGTGCAATTATAAAACCCACCAAGAAGCACATTTAGCAATGTTGTTCAATCTACAGATGTAAAATCCTTACATGTCATCCGTGATTATAAAGCTCACTGATCAGGCTTTCCAGTAACATAAAATTAAGCAGACTGATATTTACTGAGGTAAGAAATAACCGACTGAATTAGTACTTCCAGACATTTTCTGAGGATATTATGTTTCATCTGTCCCTGCCTTTTTACTTGTGTAAAATAAAGCTCTGTGCAGAGTCCAATAGCAGGAATTTCTTTTATTTAGTAGCTATCAATTTCTGGTCTTTTGGGATCAACTGTAGCTTCTACTTGTCGAGTGTTAAAGGCAATTTTTATATCCGCTGTAAAACATAGAACGTTGTTATGAATAGTCAAGACATAGCCTGGGTGGGTTTGGTTTCCCTTAAGAGATTAGAAACCAAGAAATTCATGATGCTGGACTCTTTAGCTGAAACTTGTTCAGTGATATGCATTATTCATGCCTATTTCCACGATATAGATCTATGCTTTTACTGCATGCTTCCTGCATCAGAAAGGTAATTTAAAAAAAATCTGTGGCTCATTTTTTGCAATCAAGGAAATTTCGTTATTATGGTTTTAAGTGTACTTTTTAGAAAAGTAACGAAGTTCTGACATGAAGTAGTGATATAGAAAGGCACGGTGTTAAAGGAAATTTTCAAAAGTTTTAGGAAATTATTCTATAATTGCAATGGTGAATATTGTTCAAATCTGTCAGTAAGGGAAAAAGTCAGTTTAAGGTAAAAAAAGTGTTTGGATCCTGCACCCTACTGTTCTAATGCATTGCATGCTGGTCTTTTTTTGCCTATTTCTATCCATTTGCTCCAATAAAACCTTTTTTGCATCAACTCCTCACCAGTCACCGTAGCCCAGTGAAAACACTTTTTTTTTCCATTTCATAAAGTTGCTGGTGTTACGCACAATTTCTTTAAAGCAGGAAGATTGCTTATCACAACTAAGAATTAATAGTGGGGCTGTAGCAGTAACATAATAATTTAATAATTAAGTTAAAGATGAACAAAGTTAGCCATGTCAAGGATTTAGCTATTTATGAACTTTGAGATTTGAGTGGGAAAATGATACAAAAATAAACTGTACTAAGGAAAACATCATGATGAGGTTTCAGCAAGCTTATTTTAATAATGTTTTTTGTTTAATGTGGATTTTAAATTAATGTGGCGACGACGTATTAATGTTCTCATGCTGTGCATATCGCCTCTAAAAATCTCATTAAGTCGGTTTAGAAAGATGAACACATTATCAGCTGATCGGATGGGGATTCATTTGCTGCACCTCAGAATCCAGCAGTGGAACGGGTTTGTTTTGGTGTCTTTGCAGCCAGTCCAGCATGGTTCTGGTGATTTGGGCATGTCAGTTGGATGGATGTTGTTTGGCCAAAAGTAAAAGACAAGAACGCTGCCCTTTGTTTTTGCCCTCTGAACTCTTTAAGACATCTGGTTGTTGACAAGATTTCTTTTTCTTTCTTTTCTTGTGTCCCTCTGAACTCCAACATGTGACAAACACACTCTTTCTCCCTCATCTCCATTTTTAACTGATATCTCCATCACTCCCTTTCTTCCCCCTCATCCATCTTTTCCCCCGTGCTCTCTTTCCTCCGTCCCCTCAGTCAGAAGTTAAGCTTTAAGGAGCGAGTCCGGATGGCGAGTCCTCGAGGTCAGAGCATGAAGAGCAGGCAGACATCCATCAGTGACCGCCAGCGCTGTTCCCCCGGCAACGAGGTGGTGGGCAGCAACGAGCTGATAACAGGGAGCCCTGCCAAAGTGCAGAAGAGCTGGAGCTTCAATGACCGGACCAGATTTCGTCCATCGCTGAGGCTGAAGAGCCAGACTCGCACTGCTGCTCCAGATGGTGAGCCTCTAATGTAACCATAAAGGTCGTGTTTTAGGAGCCATTTGCAGAATGGAAACAGGAAATATGATGCAAGTTTGTTTAAAATGCTTACTGGTGCTACTTGGAATAGAACAGCACAGCTCACTGGTATTGACCCTTAGCACCGACGTCACCTAATCACGTGGGTCCACCATGGTGGACGGCAAAAGCATGTAAACAGTGAGCGACACGAGTACTAAACAAAGGGGAAAGTAGAGCCTGAAATTGTTTTTGCGATCAAAACAAAAACAAAACTCCTCCAGTATTCCTTCAACTAGTTCTTGCCCAGTTCAGTTATCAGAAGAAGTAGCGCATCTAGCGGGGGCTCATAGAGAGCGGTATGCTAACTAGCTTACCAACGTTAGTTTACGTTCTCTCTGCAGCTGTTCACCGATGTAAACATGTTGCTGACTTAGCCTAAATTCACCCCTCTGGATTTATAACTTTATGTTGTAAACAGCGTTTCACTTTACACCAAAGCTGATTTTTAAAAAGTCCGGATCTCTACCAGCTTCTGTTGCTGGTGGTGTTACCGGGTTCAGCTGCTGCTCTCACACCGGAATGAGAAGAATTCTGAACGCTGACGCTCATATAAATAAATAACGTCATTTTAACACACATAATCATACATTGGAGCTTCAATATTGTTAATAATTGTCTCGCTTTACACTACAGTGGACAGAGTGCAGCCTCCGTGGTGAAATACCCATCCATCAGGATTATCAATAACTTGCAACTTATACTTGTAATAACACATCGCATTTACACCTGTCCCCGTCTTCCTCGTGAAATAAATTAACGTTAATCTTACCCGGTAAAAACATGTTCGCTGCAAATCTGAGGGCTGCTAGTCCGCTTGATTGATCGCTGCAGTTCATCTCCGTCCTCAGTCTCCATCAAAGTTATTAAAAAAACAAAACGAGTTGAGTTTACATCCTTGTCTGTTAGTGCAGCAAACCACACAGCAAGCTAAAACCATTTTACTGTCAAATCAACTAAAGAAAAGCGATAAAAGGCTACAAACTGGCTTGTTTTGACTACCTTCACTGGAATTTCTACGGGTGTAAACAGTCATTTTGCTGTCCATCATGGCGAAGGGGGGCGGTCACATCAGCACAGAGAATTCAGCTGGAAGAGAAAGTAGCTTCAGGCAATAGGATTTGGAGTCTTATTTCCTGATATTTGGACATCTCGCCTCTGATTGGCCACCAGCACTACCACTGACTTCATTTGCTCTGCAACATTGAAGTTTTATCTGCACAAATAACATAAACCTGAAGGAGTTCTGCTGTGTGATGGAGTGACCAATGCTAACTGTTAGCTTCTGCTAGTCAAGACGTTCTCTGTGGTTTCCTGGACGTTAAAACATCAACAGTCTTCCCCGTTGAGAGTCAAGATGGGTGAGTCCATGACAATGTGACATAGATCTTTCAGGAACTTCAAATCCTAGAGTTTCACAGTCTATTGTCTATCAGAAGCTAATGCATGTCATGTTAAAAAATGTGTTTTCAGGGTTCCACACCTTTAATGACAACTTGGTTGAGTTTCTGTAACAATTATGCTAGAAATATAGCCTCAGCAATTGTTTTCTGATTTTGTTTTTCTGGAAGTGATCTCAAGACCGCCAGTGTAGTTCATGGTGATTTACAGTGTCCAACCCAACCTTTGGGAACCACTCCACTAAACTGTGTGTGTGTGTGTGTGTGTGTGTGTGTGTGTGTGTGTGTGTGTGTGTGTGAGTGTGTGAGTGTGAGTGTGAGTGTGTGTGTGTGTGTGTGTGTGTGTGTGTCAGGCGCGCAGATAGGGTGGGAGACAGGGGGATCTGTCCCCCCCAGATTCAGATCGACCCGGATCCATCCCTCCAACTAAGGCCAGAAAGAAAACAAATCGGAGGTTAAGCGCTTGAAGCTCCTTTTTCCAATTACATTGAATGCAGCATGACGTAAACAAACACCGACTCCAGAGGCGCCAAAGTGGTTGCTGCTAGGATGCTGGATGAAGCGAAAAAGGCAAGCAACGATTACTGCGTATTTAAAACAGACCAACAGTGTAAGTAGGCGGGACCGATCTGTCCGTTTATGCAGGTTGGTTCTAGTTTCTTTACATTGTTGTCAGTGTTGGGACTTACTCGTTATAAGTGCCAAAGCCTCATTGCTGACTTTAACAAGTCTCATCTACAAATATGATCCCTCATGAAGTTACTACTACACCATATTTTATTGGATCGGCTTGGGTCTTGGGTTGGGGTGACGGGGGTGGCGCTTAAATGGTTCCGCTCCTACCTATCAAACCGTGCCATCTCTGTACAGATTGGTGACTGTGCATCCTCCAGTCTTCCACTGCCTTGGGGGGTGCCGCAAGGTTCCGTTCTTGGGCCATTGCTGTTTTCAATCTACCTTCTGCCTCTGGGCAATATCCTGAATATGCATGGCCTGAGCTACCACATCTACGCGGATGACTGCCAGCTATACGTGGAAATGGACGAGAAAAATACGGGCTCGAAATTGGCTGCATGTATGGATGACGTGAAGGGCTGGCTGGCATTCAACTTCTTAAAACTGAATGAAAAGAAGTCTGAGTTTATTGTTTTTGACCCCCGCAACCACCATGGCTCTCACCCTGTTTGTGACCTTTTAACCCTCAACCCCAAACAGTGTGTGACGAGTCTCGGGGTCAAGCTGGATGCTGGACTCACAATGGCCCCACGGATAAACTCTGTAGTGAGGTCTTGTTTTTATCAGCTTCGCCGCCTTACTCACCTCAGACGAATCCTGAAACGGAGGCATTTGGAGGCAGTCATTCATGCATTCATTACCTCTCGCCTGGACTATGCAAACGCCCTCCTCATTGGTGTTCCGGACTCTGCCCTGAATCGGCTGCAGGTTGTTCAGAACGCTGCTGCCAGGTTCTTGACGGGTACACACCGACGTAGCCACATTACCCCTGTCCTGACACATCTTCACTGGCTCCCTGTCATTTTCAGAGTGCAGTTTAAGTTACTGACTTTTGTTTTTAAAGCACTCAATGACCTGGCACATTCCTACCTCTCTGCCCTTCTCACTCCATATGTGCCCACCCGCTCGTTGAGGTCGGCTGACCTTTTGCTGCTGCACACGCCGCGGATGAGACTCAAATCGCGGGGGGATCGAGCATTTGTCCATGCTGCCCCAAAGCTTTGGAACTCACTGCCCATTGGAGTTCGGCAGGCTCCATCTCTGGCGGTTTTTAAATCTCGTTTAAAGACCCACTTTTACACTTTGGCTTTTAGACAGTGACTCGTTTTAGTGTTTTATTTGTCATTGTTTTAATGTGCTCTTAGTATTCATCATGTTTCTCTGCTTTTAATTGAGATTTTTATCCTTTGTTTAAGCTCCTTGTAATGGGTGTGTTTTGTTTTAGCCTGTGCAGCACTTTGGGCAGCTCCCATGCTGCATTTTAAATGTGCTATATAAATAAACTATGCTATGCTATGCTATGCTACTTTACACCAGAAGATAGTGGAGATGTGTAACCTTCAGGCTGAGCAAAGTTTGGGAGTTTTTAGAGTTTGAAAAATGCCTCCCGCCGTGAGGCTCCCAGTCGGGGAGAGGAGGAGATGCGTGCAAAATGAAGAACGCAAATATTAGATAAAACATATAATTGCCAGCAGGTCTCGTCTTTGTTGACAGATCACTTTGTCTGGTAATGACTGACTCTGATTATGAAGCAGAATATTGACTCTGATGAAGAAATTCACTCATCCAGCCGGGAAGATTGACGCTGCTGCAGCATCAGATAGCTGGTGCTGCACGAGAGGTGTGTGGAGTTTACAAGCTCCAAACGTTGGGTTTGATGTTGGTTTAACCTTCTTTGGGACGTGATGGATGTAGAAATTATGGTAAAACACTGCAAACATGATGGGCGTAGCAACAATGTATAAAAAAAAAGCTGTAAAAAAGAGGCAGATGCCGATGCATTAGGTATGGAAGTCAAGTGTGCCACATAATCATAAAAAAGGTCAAATATAAAATTTTTAAAGAGATTTATATATTTATATATAAATTAAAACTTTCCAAATATAATGAAAATTTCTAAATAACGTAAAAATACGAAGGAACATCTGTTGGTCAGGCTGAAAAGTTTGGGAACCACTGCTCTAAGTGATAAGTGAATTTCGTTTTTTATATTTTATGTGCAGTTTTTTAGGGCTTTTATGTTTTCTGTAAAGATTGGTATGCTGAAAATCATTTAATGTTTTGCATAAAGCATGAGGTTTTGTTAGTAATTGATTGGGAGAATAACAAATGACTGAATTAAATAGTGAGGCGCCTCTGTCAGTGTGCCTCAGGGCAGCTGTGGCTACATCGTAGCTCATCACCATCAGTGTGTGAATGTGTGTGAATGGATGAATGATACACTGTAGTGTAAAGCACTTTGGGGTCCTTACCCCGGGTTTCCACGGGAGCCGTCAGCAGCACGTTACTGCAGCAGCACGTCTTGCTCGCGTAAACTGCTGCTTGGCCCTTCCCACGAGACGCGAAGCAGCAGGAGAGCAGCTGTCACCGACCGAGCACGAAGTCACACGAGTGACTTCGTCAGTAAACACAACAACAAGCAGGAGAAAATTACAACATGGTTTGTGTTTTATGTTCTGTCCGTTTTATAATCGCCAATACGGACCTGAAAAACAACGGAGACCGCTAGCTAGGTGATAACTTCTCACGGGGACGCACAGTAACCTTTTTTAAAAGTAAAGCAACCGGAAAGCAGTACGTTCTTTATTCTGAAAATCTCTGTAGCTTCTCTCCTTTTCTGCGTCCGATTTCCTGTCTTTCCTTCCCCAAAAATGTCGAACTTGACCCGTTTCAGAGGCGTCGCGCGTAGAAAATAGAACTGGCGCGTAAAGGCCGCGACATGCTGCTTCTGAGACGCGGCCGACTCGCGCTGCTGACGGCTGCTGACGGCTCCAATGGAAAAGGTTCTGTTGACCACAGCGGTTCCTATCAGCAGCTATGACGTGCTGCTGCAGTAACGTGCTGCTGACGGCTCCCGTGGAAAGCCGGGGTTACTCTGAGAGGCGCTATACAAGTGTGGATCATTTATCATTTATAGTGTTGATCAGGCAGAGCTTCGTTGCCAGCGTTCCACTGCATAATGGGCTCGACACACGGGAGGCGACATCGCCTCTCCTCCATTCATTTTCAATGAGACATGCGCGACAAAGCGATAATCGCGGGTCTCCCTCCTACCAAGCGAAACGCGAAAAACGTGCGTGTGAAAGTTTGCACTCGTGCACGTGTCGTGCACGGACGACCCAGCGACGCAATCCCAGAAAGTTGAAACATTTTCAACTTTTCATCGCTGTCGCTCGGGCGAGGACCAATCAACGGAGGTTTCATTCACTGACCAATGAGCGGGCAGGATGCTCCGCACATCTCCGAGCAAACATGGGGGAGAAGTTGATTATTATTATGTTTTATATAGTAAAATCAGAAGTAAGATTTCACATAACTCTAGCAGCGCCTTGTGAAACATCATATCTACCACTTTATTAACTCTGAACCGCTTAAATAACCTTAATTCCCTCCAACCTGACAAAGCCAAACAAAACAACGGAAGTTTCGATTTCGCCATGGAACAGAACGCGTAGATGGTTTTGCCGCTGGCCGCTGCCACGGATCGCCTCCCGTGTGACAGGTCATAAAAGCGACAGCGACAAATTTCGCTGATCGCGGTCATTTGTCACCTCCCGTGTGTCGAGCCCATAATGGTTTCAAACACGTATATAAAAGTGTTAGTTTTTACGTAAACAATTGGATGAAATTACACAAACTGACTGAGCTCTAGTTAAGGCTCTTGCGATAGTTTGTGTTTGTGCATGTGTACGTGTGTGTGTGTGTGTGCGCGAGCGCGGGGGAGGGTACATTGGAACTTTGTCCCCCCAATTTGAAAATCCTATCTGCGCCCCTGGTGTGTGTGAGTGTGTTGCCAATCTTTTATTAATAATTCCTTCCTTCAACAGCAGAAAAAGTTTAAATTCTTCACAACATTAAGATTTTCCGACATTTTTGTACTTAATTGGTTTCAGCTGATTTTATAACATTTGCTATGAACTATCCTTGATGTTTTTTCTTCCCATTTTTCCCCATTTTGAATAATTTCTCATTTCGATCACCTCATCTTGCTTAGATGGCAAAAAAATGTCCCCATTCTGAATATTCCCATCCAGATAGAACATAAATTTTCACACCCTAAAAGCCAAAATTGTATCAGCTTTGAACGTTCTTGGAAGAATTTGTAAAGCTGAGGAAAGAGTTATCTGGGTTTTAGGGCTGGAAGTAATTTTCCACGGGTCTTCTTTGATTGATGAAACAACCCTCTGTCTGGTGCAGTGGACACAGGCATGACCACAGATGATTCATTCGATGAGAAAGGCTGCCATTGTGACGTGACTGTGGAGGATCTCTCGGCTCCTTTAAAGGCTGTCATCAGAGCTGTCAGGTGAGCTGCTAACACACTGCAGGGTCCAGAGGCCTTTACAATCAGCTAAAATCTTTATCCTTTGTTAAAGTTATTGATTTATTTAAAAAATGCATAAAAACTCAATCTCTAAAACTTTATTAATTTGTTATTATTTCCTGTCTTTTTTTATTACCTGTTCAAAGAATCTACAGATGTATAAACTCTGGGTTTGAGGACCAAAAACAGGTCCTACCTGCTGATAGAGATTTTTTCAGATAACTAAAAATAACAGAATACATTTTTTTCCTGATAAATTAAAAAATAATGATTCTAGGAAGTAAAAATGTCCACATGGAGTGTGAATTAGGGCTTGTTAATGTGCTTGCAATGGTGCATTTATAGTCCAAAGGGGAAAAAAAGTAAATATCATTTTTGGGTGTCGCATTGGCTGACCACTTTCAAAGCTAATCATCCTCACAGTTCACCAGCTTTGATACATCACTAAATAAAGAAAACATATTACATATGAATCACGTATTTCTTTTTTATAAATGCCCTAAAATCATGTTAAATGAAAATTCTTGTCATCCATCCCATCAAATCTTCCTCCTTTGATTGGTTCCTGATTTGTTCACACCTGACCTTTTAGAACTGAGAAAAGGGCAGCTTATTGATTTCTCGGTTGAGTTTTTCTTTTTAATTATTTCACTTGTGTTCATTGATTTTCACAGTGACATTGACAACTTACTCCAGTCGAAATATATCAGTTTGTGACTAATCTGACTGAATGCCCACCAACCATCCCTATTTCATCTATTAGTACGTAGAAAGGAAAATGTTAATTAGATCTCATGTCATGTCCACATCCCTCAGTAATGCTTCTTACATACTTTTAACTTTCTTTTATGCTCGATGATCAGCTACTGGGATCCAGGTTTGCCCATAGTGGTGGTGGTGATGGAGTTTAAGGTGTCATCCAACTATTTTCAGTGTCCTCTAAGTGAGAATAAATGTCTAAATGTATTTAAAGAGCATATTGCAGGTTAGTGCCTCCCTTGAACAAACATAATAGGAACTGGTTCTAAATAAAAATGTACCCATGCATAAATTATTTGTGTTTTGAGAGTCATTTTTGTGAGAAAAATGTTTTTTTCTGCCAAACTAGAAGAGACGTAGCCAGAGGGAGACCCGTTAGCTTGATTCAAAGAAAAATCTGGATTTTAATGCTGGTTCTGACACAGAGGAATCTTTAAATTTCTCTAACTACTTTCTTCTACAATTTGCTCTTTAACTGTATTATCTCCTGCTATTTCGGCTGTTAACTTTATTTTTTTTCTAAGTATTTTTCTCCCCAGAAGAAGCTACAATGATGTTCTGCTGAGCTGTGGCACCCTCATTGTGGTGGCCATCGGCTCGAACACTGTTGCTAACCACTTAAACACTCTCCCTCTCCTGATAATAACTTTTTATTTTCCTTGACATTGAATGTGCTACTACTAGTTTACCCAGTTAATTATAGATTAACTAGGATAAATACAATAAAGTTTATCTCTCTCCAAATAGAATATTTACTAAGAAATCACAATGTAACCATAGAAACACTACTTGGTATATATGTTATGTGTGTGTGTGGGTGTTGGTGAATGCTCTGTCTTCTCGATCCCCAGTGAGTCGTGGAGGATGGCTGCTTATAGTGAGCCAGGATCCTCTGGAGGTTTCTTCCTGTTAAAAGGGAGTTTTCCTCTCCACTGTTGTTAAATGCTTGCTTGGTATGAGGATTGCTGTAAAGTCATTGACACTAGTCAGTGACTTGATGCAATTTGTTGGGTTCCTTATATAGGAAACTTTTTTTCTGATTGGCTTATGAACTGACCTGTATTGGAATATTTACTATGTGAAGTGCCTTGAGACAGCTCTTGTGATTTGGCGCTAAATAAATAAACTTGAATTAAATTGAATTAATTATCTTAGGTGTGTTCTTGCTGTGTCTTTCTAAATCCATGCTTTCGTTCTTTTTAAACACAGAAACAGTTTTGTTTACCTGTTTGTAGCTACAGTTTCGCCGACGGCTGCCGGCTTCTTCAGGCTGACGCTGGTGGTGGCGCGTCACTTCCTTCTCCGTTTATCTGCGGGCAGCAGAGGACGTTGTCGCCCTCTACTGCCCGCTCTCCCCTCTCCGACGATGCAGTCCCATGCGTGGTCCAGCGTGTAAACTCCGTCGTCCCTGTTCATGGTCCCACATCCACGTCTCCTTATCTCTATTGCTTCCTTGATCCATCTTTTGTATTTTTGTTGTTCAGTGGTTATGATCCGTGTGCTGTCCCAGTCCATTATATATATATATATTATTTCGTAGATGACTCCACATTTTTGTCCAGCTGATATTTTGTCTTTTGGGTGTACTAGTCTGTTTCTAACTGTTGTGTATGACTTTGTTGGTGTGTTTATGTTGTGTTTTTTCATTGTCTCTCTTATTTTTTCCGTTATGCCTCTGATGTATGGTAGGGTTATCACTGGTTTTGGTTCTTGTCTTTCTGGGTTTCTGGTTCTTTTCTTGGGTTGTTCTTTGCTTTCTGTTTTTGTTTGTTGTTTTCCTTTGTTTATTGCCCATGTCGGGTATCTGCAGGTCTTTAAAGCGTGTTGTATGTGTTTGTCCTCTTGTTTACGGTCTCTCTCTTCTGTTATTATGTTTGCTCGGTGATATAATGTTCTGATTACTGACATTTTGTGTATGGTGGGGTGTTCTGATGTCCACTTCACCTTAGAGAGGGGAGAGCGGGCAGTAGAGGGCGACAACGTCCTCTGCTGCCCGCAGATAAACGGAGAAGGAAGTGACGCGCCACCATCAGCGTCAGCCTGAAGAAGCCGGCAGCCGTCGGCGAAACTGTAGCTACAAACAGGTAAACAAAACTGTTTCTGTGTTTAAAAAAGAACGAAAGCATGGATTTAGAAAGACACAGCAAGAACACACCTAAGATGTTCAAAGAGAAATACGGACAACAAGGAACGAAGGACTTCCGCCGTTTGGAGCGATTACACCAGAAACGCGCACGTCTAAGAAACCACCTTCGCTTCTGTTTAAGATGCCGGGACGAAAACATCACACCCACAAGCCTACAGCTGAAAACATCGATCCGGACCAAGACAGCACAAAATATAATAGAAAGAGCACAGAGAGCACTGCTCAAGGAGAGGATAAGGAACGTCATAACCAAACAGAGGCGTGTGGAGGACGAACTGGAAAGAGGACACCTGGACTTGAAAAGGAATTACAAACTTGATAAACAAATGGAGGAACTAATTAAAGGACACATGATGGAAAAACAGGAAAAAGAGTTCATAAAAGTAAAAGAAAGACACATAAAGAAGTTAAACAGACTCATAAACAAGAAAAAGAGGGGAGAAATACAAGGCAACTCCACACCAAACTCATGGGTATGTAACATTTCACAATACAAACTAACAGAAGCAGAAGAGAGCATATTAAAGAAAGGTTTAAACTTTGCAGTCACACCAAAAGAAATACCATATGATGATTTTATTGTAGCAACAGAACTAGCATGTCAACAGATCACAGATGAGGGAAAGAAAGCAGAACTCAGAAATAACATAGTTGGGATATTAAAAAACAGCCAAATTCAACACAGCAATATTACAAAAGAAGAACAATCAGCCATGACAGCCTTATCCAAAAATGAACAGATAATTATTCTACCGGCAGATAAAGGAAGAACCACAGTAGTTATGGACAGAGAAAAATATAAACAACAGATGAAACAGATGCTAGAGGACAAAAATACATATGAAATACTTAAAAAAGATCCAACAGAAAACATTAAGAAAAACATGAAAAAATTACTGAAGCCACTGCACGAAAAAGGCAAAATAACAGAAAAAATGTACAAACACTGGATTCCTACAGCAAACATAACACCAAGAATATATGGAACACCAAAAATACATAAACAAAACACCCCACTTAGACCAATAGTTGACAGCATAGGCACACCAACATACAACATGGCAAAATATATCAGCAGAATCATCAGCCCGTTATTAGGAAATACAGACCAACACTGCAAAAATAGTATAGAATTGGCAAAAGAACTAAAGGAAATTACAATAGAAGACAACGACATACTCATCTCACATGACGTCACATCCCTGTTCACAAAAACACCAACCCAAAAAACCATAGACATAGTAGTTAACAGAATCAGACAAGACAAAACTTTACACAAAAGGACAAACCTCACTGCAGACGACATAGCACAACTGATAGGGCTGGTAGCTAACTCCACTTACTTCACATACGATAACACAATATACAAACAACTGGAAGGCTTCGCCATGGGTAACCCGTTATCAGCCACCCTGTGCGAGTTTTTCATGGAAGACCTGGAACAAAAAGCCGTAGCCACCGCCCCCCCCCCAAACTGCAAAATAAAACTATGGAAACGCTACTTGGATGACATACTGGAAATCATACCAAAAGGTCAAACAGAAACACTAACACAACACTTAAACAATATTGACGACACAGGCAACATAAAATTCACTTATGAGTTAGAAACAGAAGGCAGCATAGCATTTATGGATATGAAAATCACCAGGCAGACCGACGGGACCCTAAACATAAACACATACAGGAAACCAACACACACAGACCAATATTTATTATGGACATCAGAACACCCCACCATACACAAAATGTCAGTAATCAGAACATTATATCACCGAGCAAACATAATAACAGAAGAGAGAGACCGTAAACAAGAGGACAAACACATACAACACGCTTTAAAGACCTGCGCATACCCGACATGGGCAATAAACAAAGGAAAACAACAAACAAAAACAGAAAGCAAAGAACAACCCAAGAAAAGAACCAGAAACCCAGAAAGACAAGAACCAAAACCAGTGATAACCCTACCATACATCAGAGGCATAACGGGAAAAAATAAGAGCAACAATGAAAAAACACAACATAAACACACCAACAAAGTCATACGCAACGGTTAGAAACAGACTAGTACACC